CTCTTCGAGTTCATGGTCTCCTTTTGGGATGCGATGACTGAGGAGCAGCCGCGGCCTGAGAAAAGCAAGCAAAAGCACATGAACGCATGACACCATGCGCGCCAACCAAGAAGCAGTGCTAACGAACCCCACGCACGAACCACTCGCCGCATGCGCCTCGCCCAGGCAATGGTGTTGCATCCGCAAGCTCGTCGAGCGCCACCAACGCGGAGAGGCCCGCGCCTCAGCAACCGAGATGCCACAATTAGGATCTGCTGCCAAGCTCAGCACAACCAATCGTGCAGGAGATGTTCCTCCAGTTCTGCGAGCGGTGCACGCCGGCCAAAGTGCCCGATCAGATGCAACCGTACATAGAAGACGTCCCGAACGAAAAGAGTCAGGACTAGATTACAGTAGCGTGAGTACGTCTGCGAAACACAACAGCAGGCAGCCGGAAAAGAGATGATCAACACCCCGACGCAATGCAGCAAGGAAACTAAAGATAAGCACACCTGCCATGTTCGTATCCCACGAGAACAATATACTCGTTACTTTGGAAACTCATTGGCTCCGCCAAAAAGCGCCACGGCCCAAGTTTACACAATCAACGAGCACTTTCGTTCTCGCTGCTCGACCTGGGTGGGGAACAACCGCAAGGGCCTCAGACGATAATTAAACACAAACAAACAGGCGGAGCAGTCAGAGCTGCTCCCAACGATTGCGGTCAAGCCCCTTAAGCTCTGAGCGTTAGGTCTCCGCTGCAAGCTGCCAGCTATCTACAAGTACAGACATAGAAACGGAATCCAACCGACGGCACAGGCAGGCAGAATAGCGTGGCGCTTGCCCCAGGTGAACTCGAACCTCCTACCCCAAAGCCCTCAGAGAGGAGTCGATCTCGCAGCTGTTGTGGATTCAAGAGACGCAGTGAAACTAGACAATCAGAAAGTCAGTCATGACTCGTGCAAAGAACATTCAAGTTCGCGTGACTGACTGGCAACAAAGCATGGCATATAAAGGGTCAGATTCGGCAGCAACCAAATACTCACTCATCCGATAGAGTTCGCTCCGTGAAGCTCACTCCACGCAAGATGTCCTTCGCGAAGCTCTCAGACTATCTTTGCAGGCAGCAGCAATATTAGCAGCGCAATTCATAAACACGCAAAGATGCAGCCCTGAGGACACACTCAACCACGAGCTGGAGAACGAGTACGACAAGCTGTACCCGCAGGCCCGATGCGACACTATGCCACCCGAAAGTCTCCGCAAAGACCGCCAAGGAAAGGAAGCTCACAAGCTTCATTCAGTGGGGCGAGCGCCGGTACATCTTCACCTACGCGGCGCACGACTACGAGAGCTTTCGCTCGATCGTGGCCCGCGTCGTGAAGATGCGCCAGGCCCTCAGCCAACGGCAACCGCAGCCTGCCTCTCCTTCCGTGTTAGTCCCGACAGCAAGCCCACAAGAATTGACTCTATAGTACATAACTGCGCTGTTCCGCTCAGGCGGCGGCTACGAGCTGAGACGGCACGAGGCTCAGACATCGACAGAACGTCGAAGAATCCCTGCAGCGAATGTGAGTCGCCGCAGAACCTTTTCAAGCCGAGGTCGGACAACGGCCGCTGGATCGATCCCCTGGACGATCCCGTCTTAGCCGGTCTGACCTTGCAGGTAGGCGTGAAGCTCGCCACGGCCTCAACACCAGTCAAAGCTGAGCGTAGCCGAACCTTAGCTCAACCACAGACTCCCCAAAACCAGAAGCCTCCGTCCGCTCAGGTCCAACTCGCACGCTGGGTGAGATGAGCGCGCCGACCGCGGCAGTGCGTGCGCGGCGGCGAAAAGAGAAGAAGCCAGCAAGAAGCGCACAAGCAAGCCGAATGAAAGCACCTGCAGCAGCTCATGAACAGCACAACGAACAGGCAGACCTCCAAAAGTTCCACGCAGCAGAAGCTACACACGTACATAATAATACGTCTCTTTCCCATAGATCTGGGTGGGGAACAGCCGCAAAGCCCCCATGCGAAAGCAGGCGGGCGAAGCAGTCAGAGCTGCTTCCCACGTTTGCGGTCAAGCCCCTTAAGCTCTGAGCGTCAGATCTCCAACAAGAGACTGCACAGCCTTCAAAGCGCCAAAGCCAGTAGCCCGGCCTCGAAACCAAGCTCTTCTCGACCCATCGAGGAGCCCAGCCTTGAAGACCCAGAACTTCTCGACCCCTCGAGGGGCCCAGCCTTGAGACCAAGATCTTTTTGACCCCTTGAGAGACCCAGCCTTGAGACCAAGAACTTCTTGACCCCTCGAAAGGCCCAGCCTTGAAAGCAAGATCTTTTTGACCCCTCCAGGGGCCCGGCCCTACGACCAAGAACTTGTTGACCCCTCGAGAGGCCCAGCCTGCAAACCGAAAGAGACAGGAAAGAGAGAGGAAACAAAAAGTAAAGAGAAAGCAAAGAAAAATGAAACGCACAGGAAACACAAAGGAAACGGAAAGCAAAGATAAAGGAAACAGAGAAAAACCAGAAAGGAAACAGAAAGGAAAGAGAGAAAAACCAGAAAGGAACGAGAAACAAAAGAACGAGAAAAAAAAACATAGAAGAAAAAGAAAGGCAAGAGAGAGGAAATAAAAAGGAAAGAGGAAAGAAACAGAAAAGAAAGAGAAAGGAAAAAGAACGACAAGAGAAAGGAAAAAGAAAGGAAAGATACAGAAAACAGAAAGCAAAGAGAGGAAAAGAGAGAAAAACAAGAAAGAAAAGAGAAAGAAAAGACTAAGGAAAAAGAAAAGAAAGAGAAAGCAAGAAAAAACGAAAAACAAAAACAAACAGAACAGAGAAAGGCAAGAGACAGCAAAGAGAAAGGAAAGAGAAAGGAAAGACAAAGGGAAGAGAAATGAAAGAGAAAGGACAGGTACATAATACGGCTCTTTTCCAAAGATCTGGGTGGGGAACAGCCGCAAAGCCCCCATGCGAAAGCAGGCGGGCGAAGCAGTCAGAGCTGCTTCCCACGTTTGCGGTCAAGCCCCTTAAGCTCTGAGCGTCAGATCTCCAACAAGAGACTGCACAGCCTTCAAAGCGCCAAAGCAAGTAGCCCGGCCTTGAAGCCAAGATCTTCTTGACCCATCGAGGAGCCCAGCCTTGAAGACCCAGAACTTCTTGACCCCTCGAAGGGCCCTGCCTAGCAACCGAGATCTTCTTGACCTTGACCCCTCGAAAGACCCAGCCTTAAGACCAAGAACTTCTTGACCCCTCGAGGGGCCCAGCCTTGAAACCGAAAGAGAAAGAAACCGAGAGGAAAGAGAAAGGAAAGAGAGGGGAAAGAGAAAGGGAAGCGAAGGGAAAGTGAAAGGAAAGTGAAAGGAAAGAGAAAGGAAAGAAAAAGGAAAGAAAAACAAAAGAAACAGAAAGCAGGAAAGGACAGAGAGAAAAAAGAGAGAAGACAGAGAAAGGAAAGAGAAAGGAAAGAAAAAAACACGTGAACCCTGAGCCCCTGAACCCCTCGAGAGGCGCAGCCTGGAGGAGCGCACGCAAACGCCTTAGCACTGCGGCTCTAGTCACTCCAGTGAGGGTATACTTCGACTCCGCAGTACAACGCGACGCCATGCCCCGACAACGAGAACCCAAGGGAGCACATCGACAGGCTCAGGAGGCAGGCCCTCGCCCAAGCAAGCCGCACAGCAGACCATGCAAGCCTCGCACGCGCGCTCGAAAAAAGATTGGCAATAAGAACGTGCCAGGTCAAACAAAGCAGAAACACGAGCGACGCCACTCACAACGACACCAACAACGCAGCGGGCCCGGACAATGCCCTCTCTCCCTCTCCCGATCGATCTCTCCCTCTCTCTCTCTCTCTCTCTCTCTCTCTCTCTCTCTCTCTCTCTCTCTCTCTCTCTCTCTCTCTCTGTCTCTCTCTCATTGTCTCACGAACTCGCACCGACTGCTCAGGACGAAGCCGTGGAGTCCCTCTTCTTCGTGCCGCCCGATGCACAGGACACCGAGGCAGGACGGGTAAGTACACTCCAAAGATACTGTAAGTCTGTAAGTATCCGATCGTAGCAGCGCCGCACATATCACGTATCAAAAGACACGCATGCATCGCAACATGCCTCAGACCGTGAGCGTCGCCGTGATCATCGAGGGGAACATATACTTATCCATCCACTTCATGGCCGAGTTCTGGAACGGCCTCACTGCAAAGCAGTCGAAGGCCCAGTTTGCAGTATTTTCCTTCTTCCTGATCCTTTAATATTTCACTGCGCTCTCTCTTCCCGCGATAATCGGCTTCGTGTTCATTGTCGCAAGCATCATACAGAACGCAATCGCAACATCTCAAGCGATATAGACCCACCCGAACCCTCCCCGATGCACGCGCCAAGGAAGCACGCTTGCATCAACAACGTGGTGGACGCCTACATCCACGGAAAGGCCCCGCAACTGGCATCGGCAGTAGTGGCGAGTTTCAACTAAGAGACGCTCTTACCCGAACACCAGCGGCTCGGCGCAGGAGCCTGTCCTGCAGCTCTGCGAGTGCTGCATAGGAAAGGTGCCCAGCAAAATGCTGAGCGCCATGGAAAAAGTCCCGTAGGTGCGCACATAACGAAGCATATCAGCTGACGAAAGCTTGCAGAGCACGTGCGCCCAGCTGCAAAAAAAAAGAGAGTCGAACCTGCATCCATGCCTGACGGCGTTTTACAGTCATGCACCTCGGCACCGAAATCAGCCAAGTCCAGCTAGCGTGGCACGAGCGCACGCACGCATACTCAATTTAAAGCTGCTCCTCAGCGTGTAGTCTTGTACAGCCCCTTTCGGCACGAACGAGTCGCCGTTCGTTCAAGACTGCACTAGAGAGCACCCGCTTCTTCCAACAAGCTAACTTACCACCCAGAAGCAGAGCGCCAAGAGACCATTAACAACAAGAACCGAAACACGAACCAGCACAAATACCCGAGAGAGCAAAACCAAACATTCCTCCTCCAGTCCATAAGAACCCTTCCCCCTCTCCCGAAAAGTGATAAATCACAGCAAACATCGAGTGAGCTATGCGCTCAACGAACGAAGCCATGCTCGAAACTACACGCTTGCGATGGCCGGAGATAATCCGAAGGCATACCTTCGCGGAATTGGTCAACGTGGCGTCGCAGCTGCCAGCCCACGTCTGGAAACCAGCTTTACAGGAAGGCATCAGCTTCCGCACCAAGATTCCGGACTCCACGATCTGGTACTACGAGACCGGACAATCCCAGTGGTGGGCATGGCGACGCCAGCGACGCAGAGGGTCCGAAGTCATCGTACTCCGACGCGTCCCAGACCGCCAGCTCGTGCTGTCCTGCAACGTGCACGCCACCGCGGACCTCTTGCAAGTCGAGATGAACACGCTCTCAGGCAAGAACCTCATCCACGCGGTCTTCAACGCCTCCGAGTCGTCGGAGCCAGTCACAACGAAAGATCTCGTGAAGCTAGCTCGCACAGCAGCCTTCCAACAAGGCATCCTGACTTCGACCAGCCAAGAGATCCGCTTGCTCGTGGACGCACGCGTGATCCCCGATAACGCCACGTGGTGGTCGCAGACCATTCGCGCAGCGCCACCGAAACGACGAATCCGCCAGAAGCAGGACGTCTCAAGAACCAATTTTGAGCAAAACATCGTTTCGTTCCTCAACTGAAGGACCCCCAACGCACGTCGCACCAAGACAAAAAAAATGCCCGAAATGCAATTTCAACAGGAGCTGCCACAACCACCCAAACCACAAAGACCTGGGTGGGGAACAACCGCAGAGCCTCTCCGTTCAGAGAGAGGCGGAGCAGTCAGAGCTGCTCCCAACGTCTGCGGTCAAGCCCCTCAAGCTCTGAGCGTCAGGTCTCGAATCTGTCACACACTGCACAAACGCCACACAACGCGACGCAACCGCGCAGTAGGCTCCACATCCACTCCTCCCGCAACTCGACACAGGAAGCACACAGTCACACGCAGGCCACGAAGCAAACAAACTCGCAGCTGCACTGAGCATTCCCCGAAAAATAAAAACAACTACAATAAATAGTGCAACCAAAAACATCAAGTTACATGCGCTGTGACGCAAACTTCGCAGGCTGGCTCGAGCACTGCCCCCGTGATAGACCGACCCCACCTCTCTCCATGGGGGCAGCACACACGCCGCTTCCTCAATCCTGCCCGCAAGCACGCAAGAATCAGAACAACGCCGCTTCGCAAGCAACAATGCACACACCAGGAGTTGCGACGACAGCGACGAGGAAGAAGTCGCCAAAGGCATCGGGAGAGGACACCCCAGAATACCACGAAACACACATGCTCTTCACGATAATGCATCATTGCGTCCTGCAGGAATCCGTGACGAGGACGCCATCCATGAAGACATGAAAGGAATCGGACGAGGACGTCGCGCAAGCCCAAAAACTCAAGAGCACCCCCTCCCAAACTAGCCCACCAGATTTTCAGACTACTCTTCAACTCCCCCCCTTAAAGAACCCCTGTTGCCGGATCGACGTCCTCACCTAAGCCACCATCGCATCCCAAGCAGCAATAACCCCGCGTTCCCCCCCAACCGACCACTCCCCAAACCATAGACCATGACTCTTCTAGCCTCGAGCCTTTTCGCAGGACTGACATCCACGCCGGCCGCCGCCTACTACGTGTCCAAAGGCAAGGGAAAAGGACGGCCACCACCACCCCCTCCGCTGGCATCACCCCTGAACCCCCCAAAACCCTGCTTTCGCACCTCCGACGACAGGATCCCCCATGCAAGCGGACGAGAACTGCATCGAGACGGGCAAAGGACCTCCTGCATTCCCTTGTTTGCAGCCCAACAACATTGCCAACGCACAAACCATGGTATTCCCACCAGGCGGATCTACGATGCCATCTTCCTCAAGAAAACGGTGCCGAGCTCAGAGATGCCACTTGCAGCAAGTACCAGCAAACCCGAAAACAGCACTCCCTGTCCAGTCCGACCAACCCGCTCAGGCGCAGACCCACGTGAGCCGACAAGCATCTGCACGAGTCAGTGAGGAAGGTGCCCAAAAAGCAAGGTGCATTCAGAGCGTCGCATCGCATCACGACAGTTCAAGCATCCCCTGCTCTACCGAGACATTTACTTAGTCCAAATTGCCGTCGCTCGATGCGGAAGCTATCCGCCGCCACAAGCACCGGTGCAGCCACGAGGCTCAACAAGCGTCGCCCCAATAGGCAGCCCGGCAGCCCTCCTCAAGACCGAGGCCTCGAACCCCGCTGACGATTCTGAGCTGAAGCAAGCCCAGCCGCCATTCACAACAGGCCGGAAACATGACAAAGAACGGCATCAAGTCGGACATCAACAACATCGACAGGAAGCGCTTCAAGCAGGCGCGTGACGAGCATGATGAATTCCTCATATTTTGGTAGCTCTCTGTCCCTAAACACGTAAAGCTGTCAGAGCAATAGTAAAATCGGTGTGAGCAGGTCAAGAAAAAGTTCGACAAGATCCATAACAGCCGAAGCAACTCGACCAACAAGCCGAGCTCTCGCATCAACACCGGCTTGCAGGCACGACCCCTCCCAACCCTCTCCCACACTCAACGCACAAGGTAAAAACCCACGCCCGGACATAAGCCAAGAAACGCACGCACCAGATGATCACCGACGAAGCCGAAAAAGTCACGACGTCCGTCGAGAACGCAAAGATGATCGTGCTCATGCAGCCGCCTTATGCACACGGGTTCCCATTGTTTCTTTACAACAGTCCATATCGAAGAAGTCATCGCATAAAGCATGCCCGCCAAGGTTGCTGCAGGAGACGTCCACGATCCTGGAGATCGAAAAGCAAATTGCGGACATTCAACTCCATTCCGAGGAACAGGAAGAAGAAGAAGAAGAGGAAGAAGCAGAGTACTACTATGACGAAGCCTACCGACAATGGTGCGAGGCACACTTCGGTGCTTGTCTCACAACTCCACAGGGTAACTTTTAAAATAACCACGTCCGGTAAAAAAAAAAACGCCCACAATCAGGCCGCTTTGGAGCAGCACGCCAGCTTCGCCGATGAAGAACAACCGGTTCCGACCTCAGTCACGTCTACATTCCAGCGCGAGTCGACGCAGAACTCTAAACACAGCCGAACAACAACCACTTCGGAACGAGGCGCAAGAGAAGTCGCAGCAGCCGCTGCCTGAGCCGGAGCCGTGTCACCACAGCTTCCCAGCGGAGCAAGAATACAGCTGACCCAATCACAACTCGATTGTGCGAGAAAGGAAGCTCCGAACTTCATGCACAAGCACGTCCTTGTTCACCGCCTCGAGCCGCCCACTAATGTCTCGCCTCGTGATCTTCGACCCGGCCCCAACATCATGCTACGTACTCCCGCAAGCGTTCGACAGCTCCATGTCCCACCCCAAAAGTAAGACCCCGAAGTTTCTCACCCCAGCGCAATCCACTCTCTTCGAATTGCAATCCGTTTAGAATTAACAACCCCCCCCCCCCCCCTCCCCTTTCCCCCGCCCAAGAAGACGAACTCCGCACGGCTCAAACAAAGATTCCAGACTCGCTATCAAACAAACAGCAAGCAGCACCGGAACCAAGTTACAAAGAAGGCTCCAGATAGCTTCCTTGCCAACAACAATGCTCGCCATGCAGCTGGCTACCGGCTGCGCGAACATGACCGAAGAGCTCATTAGCCCGCGCTTGGTGTGGGAAACCGCGCACGATGAGGTCCCCGCACTGATCTACGGCCCGAAGACAAAGATCGACAACAATATCTTCATCGCCAGCCACGCCGCCAGCATCCCCTTAAAAGCCTACATCCACTACCTGTACAACCAGCTAGTCCTCAAAGACAGGCACCGCCTCGCGCCGGATCCAGATAGTGTGATCGTCACAACAATGGTTCTTGTACAGCGCCTCGCACAGGCTGATCCCCTCCTTCTGACTCCCCTCAGCCTCCACAGGATCTGGGCAGCAGGCTTCGCGCTGGCATACTCATGGCT